TCTCCCTCACTCCTCTCTCCTTCTGCCCTCCCTCCCTCCATGACGTCCTCGTTCCCCCTCTGCCCGACCTTTTTCCCGACTTCCCAGCCCATTCCTGCCTCACTCCCTCCCCGTTCCCCCGTTCTCCAGTCCCTCCCCTCTTCCTTCCCCTCCCTCCTCTCTGCGTCCCTCCCTCCGGCCCCTCTTTTCTCTCTCCTTCTCAGCAACATGGCACAGGACAAGAGCAAGCGGCCTCAAGCTGTGCCAGGGGAAGGCTCGGCTTGGACACCAGGAGCAATTGCTTCCTTTGGTGGCACCAAAGGCCTGAGCAGCTGCTCCCGCAGGGATCTGTCAGGAGCAGCACAGAGCTGCTGCTGCCTCAGCTGGGGCTGCACCAGGGGACACTTGGGACAGCTCCCAGTCACTTTGTGCGGTCCCCTGAGAAGATCTCATTGTCATCTTCCACTTGGGACAGCTCCTGCTCACTCTTGCTGTCCCCCGAAGTGACCTCCATGTCCTCATGCACTTGGGACAGCTCCTGCCTGCTGCCATTTCCCCCTTGGGACAATTCACTTTCTTTTTCCTGTTGGGACTCCTGTGTCTTATTGGTCATCTTTCCCTTGGGAAGGGTCTTTGTCCTCCTCCCATTGGAGCAGGTCTTTCTCAAGGGAGGGTAAATATCCATCTGGTCCTTCTTCTTCCTATTTTTCTTGTCTTCTATGTATTTTAAAATATGAATTCTTATTAATCTTCTTCTTCGATGAATTTTTAAGCAAATATTATTATTTTTAACACTATTCTTCCACATTTTAAAATTCTTACTCCTTATTCTAATTCCTGCTCTTCTTCTTCTACTTCTGTGTATTTATAAAATTCTTACTCTCTTTACTATTCTTCTTAGTATTTTTACAGTCTTCCACTTCTGCTTCTTCCTCTTTGTCTTTGCCTTTTTCATCTTCTTCGCCTGTCATCTTCTTTCTTTGCCTTCATCTTCATCTTTTCTCTCTTCTGTCTTCTTCGTCATCGTCTTGTCAGCTTTGTTTTCTTCATCTTCGTTCTCTTCTTCGTCTTCATCTTCTACATTTCCTTCATCATTTTCTTCCTCTTCTTCGTTGTCTTTGTCTTCTTTGTGCTCCTCGTCCTGTTCCCGTTGGTATCCCAACTCCCGTTGACATTGGCCGCCCCGTGTGAGCCGCAGTCCTGCCGGGAGGGAGGCTGTGGGAGCAATCCCTGCTCTCGGTGCCCTGTTTTACTCCTCCGGCTGTGGCCTCAGGCAGGAGCAGAGGAACAGCGCCCGCAGCGCCCGCCTGAAGCGGGAGGGACGTTTCTCGGAGACCCGGCTCTGTGCCTCTGGCTCCTCTGCACCGAGAGGCTGCCGGGGCTTCTCCTTAGCAGCTGCCAGCTCGGGCAGGGCACGGGCTGCCTCTGCTGCCAGCCCTGCAACCACATGCCTGGAGCTGGGTCCCTCCAGGGGGTCCCAGACATGCACCGAGTGTAGAGGCCGCCAGCCGGGCTGGAGCCTCACGGTTCTAAAGCAGCCCCGGTTCGGAAGCGCCCTGTCCTGAGCCCGTAATTCCCTCACTCGTGTAACGGCCACTGGGGCCCGTTGGAGCGCGGGCCCGGCCGTTGGGGGCTCGGGCTGCCATTGGCTGCTTGGCCCGGCGGGAACTCGCTCGACCAATGAGGATGAGGCGCGCGTGCCCTCAGAGCCGTTGGAGGTGAAGCGGTTTCAGTCGCTCGGCTGTGGCTGCCGGAGCTTCGTGTGCGTTTGTCGCTGTCCTGCCCCCGCCACCTCCGGGGGCCCTGAGCTCATCTCAAGAGCCGCCGCCTGGAGAGCGGAGGGGGCAGGGAGGCGGCAGGAACAGCTGTCTGCAGCGTGCAGAGCCGTGTCTGGGTCCGGACCCCTGTTTATTTGAGGAAGAAGCCGCCGGGATGGGGGCAAGGGGCTCTACGCCAGAGGAGCCCATCCTCCAGCTCCAGACAGAGCGGAACATGAGGCTGGCGGCGCCGCGGACGCCTTCGAGACAGCTGAGGGGAACCGGGCATCGGGAGAGCTGGCGGGAGGCGCGGCCGGATGGGGGAGCAAACCGGCCGAGCTGCGGCTTTGTGCCGGAGCCGCTGGCCTATAGAGCGCCCTGCGGCCTCTACAATGTGCCTTGTCGCCCCGTGCCAGAACTTACAGACATCGGGACCCACCCCAGCCGAGCCCGGCCGCCCCGGAGCGGAGCCTGAGCGTGGAAGAGCCGTGCCTCGCACCGGAGCCGATCAGAAACCGGCACCGCGGGTGCCCGGGTACCCAGCGAGCGCCAGCCCCGCAAGCAGCGGCGACCGCGGGGTCCGAAAGTCGCCGGTGCTGGAGCTGGAGTCACCCATGGAACACTCACCGGTTCGGGGCACCGAAAGCCAGAGCCACCATTTCTCTGCGGCCCCCCGAGACAAAGCCATCATCGGTACAATACCAACAGCCGTGCCCGATCCAGAGTGTAGCAGGTAAAGCTAGCGGCGATAACAAATGGGGATTAGGCAGCTGCAGAAGTCATTGATGTGCCATTATCGGGAAGTCGGGAACCTGAGTATGGCACAACTGAAACATAGCCGGTAATAAGGGGTAGTGGAAAAACACCGGATATTTACACATTTTCAGTGGCCAGTTCTTTCAGAACTGCATCAGCTTGTAACCAAGCACAGCCTGGGCACACCTGCTGTCACCAATATGCTGTGGTTTTTAACATCAGGGGAGGTTACTCCCTTTGATGTTAAACAGCTTGCCAAACTAATGTTTACAACATCCAATATGTGGTCTTTGAGCCAGCATGGTGATGTGGTGCGAAAAAGACTGCAAGATGCAATGGAGGAACAAATTATAAACGCTGAGGACAGAAACCAATTAATTTTACAATTGGCCAAGGGTAAGGAGGACTGTTGAAGGGTCTCAGAACTGTTGCCAGATGAGAACCCATCCTTGGATGAGATGATAAACGCATGCACCACGGTTGGATCAATGCTCACACCATGTCCTTGTTGGCAGACTCCATGGCAGCAGCTGTGAAAGTGACACCCCAGTGCTACAGATGTGGACAGCCAGGCCACCTAAAACCAACTGTCCCTGTGAGTCTACACTACCAGGAACAATTAATGGACAAAGGAATACAGCTTGTATCCAGTGTGGAAAAACCAATCCAGTGACCAGACAATGCAGATCCCAAATTCATTCTGACAGATCTTCCTTTAAGGATCAGGGAAACGCGAGACCCAGTGTGAAGGGGAGATGTGCGATGATGATACGAGCACCTTTTCGCCTTCCTGTCAGAGCCTGTGGCACCAGCTCACAGGAAGGACCAGAGGAGCAGCTGCAATGGGTGTTTCCACATCCATCTTAACAAGCATAAGCACTTTAAAGGTACACAGGGTCCGTCTTGAGGTCCACGGGCTCATCGGGAGAGGACTGAGTGCACTGCTGATTGGAAGATCCAGTGTTACTCTACAAGGTATTTTTGTGTACCCTGGTGTTCCTGATGCAGATTTCACTGGGCAGAGACATGCTGTGGTTTCAACTCCTATTCCACCCGTGACAATCCCCACAAAAACACAAATTGCCCAACTCATCCCTTTTAAGTCTCTTGTCCCCAAAACAGAGCCCAGAGAGCGAGGTGAGCGAGGCTTTGGATCCACTGGAGAGCCCCAGGTGTGCTGGACTCAGGTCATAAGTGATCCAAGACCTAATATGGTGTGCCCTGTTCCGATGCCTCAGGCGAGGCCATTGCAAATCAAGGTCAGAGGGATGGCTGACACAGGGGCAGATGTTACCATCATCTCTGCCCACACCTGGCCATTATCATGGCCCACCACAGCTGCAGGAGCTGCCATTGCTGGCCTTGGGGAGACTACACAGAGCTGCTGGAGCAGCAGATCTGTGTTGGTCAAAAATCCCAAAGGTCAAACATCTATCATCCATCTGACCATCCATTACTGCAGCAGCACTTAGTCTGTGGGGGAGGGATGTTCTTTCTGCATGGGGAGTTAGGGTAGGAAGGGATTTTTAACAGGGACCGCTGTTTTAAAAGGTGTGAAATATCCCACAGAAGCCCTAAAATGGCTCTCCACTCAGCCTTTGTGGATGCCACAGTGGTCCCTGGAAAACGAGAAATTACACGCCTTCAAAACTTTAGTGCAAGAGCAACTGGTTCAAAGGCACAGAACCATCTACGAGCCCTTGTAACACCCCAGTATTTGTCATCAAAAACAAATCTGGGAAATGGAGGTTGCTGTGTGACCTAAGGGAAATCAATGTAGTCATGGAAAGCATGGGAGCCCTACAAGCAGACATGCCATTCCCTGGGATGATTCCTGTCAATTGGGACATAAGGAGAGTGAATCTAAAGGATTGTTTGTGTACTGTTCCTCTCCATTGAAATGATACCCCAAGGTTTGCTTCTAGGGTATCATCCATTAATAACGCTGCACTAGTGGAGCGCTATCAATGGAAAGTTTTGCCTTATGAGGACAGGAAGAGCTGCTGCCTTTTTGTCCTCTGGAGTGACAGGGTTGGGGGGCTCCTCCTCCTCAGTAGCTCCGGCCGGGGTAGCAGCTGCCAGCTCGGTGTCCGTGGGACTCCATGGGGCAGGAGAGGCTCTGGGCAGGGCACGGGCTGCCTCTGCTGCCAGCTCTGCACCCACATGCCTGGAGCAGCTGGGTCCCTCCAGGGGTTCCTCATCATCCCCCAAGGGTTTATTGCAGATGTTGTCCTGGATGGCATCTTCCCCTTGGGACATCTCTTGGTCTTTGCACTGCTTCCCTTTGGAATGCACGTCATCACTGAGATTGAAACTGAGAAGTGACAAGGAGTCCAACAGCTCTCGCCATTGGGCCTCCACCTTCTGCTTGCACCATTGCATTCTTTGATTCAGTTTAGTTTCCTTCTCTTCCTTCTCTTCCTTCTCATCACCATAATCATTGGGGAAATTGGCTTCCAGCCATTCCACAACCTTCTGATGTCTTGATATCTCTTCCACTTTGGGCAGTTCAGGTGATGAGCTTGAATCTTCTTCCATTCCACCAAGCAGGGCCATCCTTCTCAGCTCTTCAATCTCACATACTTCCCTATGGGAGAGTGCTTCATCCTCATCTTCCCAATGGCAGAGCTCTTCGTCCTCTTGTTCTTCCCATTGGGAGAGCTCTCCAGCTTCATGTTCTAGCCAATGGGACAGCTCTTTTTCACACTCCTTTTCACCTGGGGACAGCTCCTTGTCACTCTTGCTGTCCCCTTGGGAGTGCTCCTTGTCATTTTCCGTTGGGTACAGCCCGACGTCACTTGTGCTGTCCTCAGGAGCGACCTCGATGTCCTCTTCCACTGAGGACAGCTCCTCATCAGTCAGGCTGTACCCTGAAACGACCACGATGGCCTCTTCTGCTGGGGACAGCTCCAGGTCACTTGTGCTGTCCTCAGGAGCGACCTCAATGTCCTCTTCCACTGAGGACAGCTCCTCTTCACTTGTGATGTACTCAGTAGAGACATCGATGGCCTCTTCCACTGAGGATGGCTCCTCTTCAATTGTGCTGTCTCCTGAAATGACCTCAATGGCCTCTTCTACGTCAGACACCTCCTTGTCACTTATGCTGTCCCTTTGAGAGACCTCAAGAGCCTCTTCCTCTTGGGACAGCTCTGAGTCAGTGTTGCTGTCCCCTGGAAGGACCTCGATGGCCTCTTCTGCTGAGGACAGCTCCTCATCAGCCAGTCCCTAACCCTAACCCTAACCGTAACCGTAACCCTAACCCTAACCCTAACCCTAACCCTAACCCTGCTTGAGCTCCACCTCTGAGACCTTGAATTTGCAAACATTTTTGGGTCCCACCTTTGGCTGGCTGAGCTCCACTGGTGGCAGCTTGAAGGGCATCAGTGAAGTGCAGGAGGAGGAGGACATGTGGGATGGAGATGGCTACCTTGGGACAGTGAAGATCCTGGCCTTGTCCATCCACTGGCCTCTCCTTCCAGCCTCATGCCACACTCTTGGCCTCCTCCGCAGGCTCAGCAAGTGGCCTTGGGCGGGCTGGGAGTTGGGGTTCACCTTCTCTCTGTCCATCTTCCGTGAAATTCAATGTAATGTCCACTGTCTTGCAGTGCAGACGGATGCAGGGAGCTGCTTCTTCCTGAGAGCGGCTCTCCTGGGACTGGGCATCCCAGGGCTCTGTGCCCCTTAGATCCCCTCAGCCTCGATGGCTTCTTCCACTGATGACAGCTCCTTGTCAGTCAGGCTGCCCCCTGAAATGACCTTTTGGTCATGGATGGCCTTTTCTGCTGGGGACAGCTTCTCGTTACTTATGCTGTCACCTCAAATGGCCTCGATGACAACTTCTACTACTTTGACTTCTACTGTGTCTACATCTATGTAGATGTAGATACTTCTGCATTTTTCCAGTGGAAAGGACTCGTCATTCACTGGGGACAGCTCCTGGTCTCTTGTGCTGTCCCCTGGAGAGAGCTCAATGTCCTCTGTCACTGGGGACAGCACCTGGTCACTGTCACTTTCCCCTTGGGACAGCTCGTTGTTATCTGCTCTTTCTGGAGCTGTGCCCGTGAGGCTGCGCTCCACGGCTCGAGCCCCCGAGGGGATGGGTGGCACAGGCTGCAGCTGCCAGCTCGGGGACACAAGGGCTGTGCCCTCCTGGGCCACCCTGAGCGGGGGCAAGAGCACCCTGGGCACGGGGGTGTATGGCTGCCCAGGACAGGGGCTGCAGGGCTGGGGCCCCTTCTCTCCTGCGCTCCCCAGCTCTGTGCCCTGGCTGTGAGTGTGCCTGGGACTCACCAGACAGGGCAGTGGTGGCTGCCGTGGCAGTGGCGGAGATCATAGCAGTGGCAGAGGTGGCAGCGGTGGCAGCCTGTCCCCACAGAGGGACAGGGCCTGGTTCCGGCTGCCCTGCAGTGCTGCCTGTGGCTGCCTGAGCTCCATTGGTGAGACCGATGGTTGGTTCAGGTTTTTGGGTCCCACCTTTGGCTGCCTCACCTCCACCGGTGGCAGCTTGAGGGGCACCTGTGAGGAGGATGAGGACACATGGGACGGAGACGGCTCCCTTGGCAAAGCAAAGATCCTGGCCTTCTCCATCCACTGGCCTCTCCTTCCTGCCTCATCCCTCATTCTTGGTCTCCTCCTCTGGCTCAGCAGGTGGCCTTGGGTGGGCTGGAAGTTGGGGTTCCTTTTCTCTATGTCCATCTCTTCATCTGTCTCCTCCACCCCCTGCTGCAGAGCCATCCAGGGAGCCGCTTCCCCAGACAGGCAGCAGCTCTGGGGACGGTGTTTGCTTCCGTTGGTGACAGTTCAGTGGAACTGTCCTGTGTCCCTTGATAAGCTCTGCGGCCTCATCTGCTGCAGACTGGGACCCCAGGCCCTCCACGAGCAGCCGGTTGGAGACGTCCCTCCCGCTTCAGGCGGGCGCTGCGGGCGCTGCGGGCGCTGTTCCTCTGCTCCTGCCTGAGGCCACAGCCGGAGGAGTAAAACAGGGCACTGAGAGCAGGGATTGCTCCCACAGCCTCCCTCCCGGCAGGACTGCGGCTCACACGGGGCGGCCAACACCAACGGGAGCTGGGACACCAACGGGAACAGGATGAGGAGGATGGAGAATACATTCAAGACAATGAAGGCGAAAGCAAAAAAGATGTAGAAGACAAAATATAAACAAGAATATTAATAAGAGTAAGAATTAAAAAATATATAGAAGGAGTTTAGAAGATTACCAGAACGAGAGTAAAAATTTAGGAATACATAAATGAATAGAAAATTTAATGAATAGTTAAATTAGCATATAATTAGTATTTTTGCATATTGTATATTTATACTACAGTCTCTGATATAAAAATATGAATAAAAAATATGATTATGACATATTATAATGTCCCAGAAAATTTCTAGATAAAGAGAGAACACTGTTGCAGCAAGAGAAGAATTTTGTCTATTTTTGCTAAGCAAGTTTGTAAGGGCCAAGAAAAGCGTCTCCAGATTTGATGTCCCGTCTGTGCGAGGTGCCCATGGATTCTGACGCTGGGTGCCAGTGAGTCCCCTGTGAGCAGGGAGTGCTGAGCCCCAGCGGCAGCGGGAGAGTTCCCGGCTGGGCCGGCAGGGCAGGGCTGGCCCTGCTCTCTGCAGGCAAACGAAAGGCGCCCGTTGAGGCCGGCTGAGAGAGAAGTGTGCTGGGAAGCCTTTGCAGCAGGGCTGGAGAGAGAAGTGTGCTGGGAAGCCTTTGCAGCAGGGCTGGAGAGAGAAGTGTGCTGGGAAGCCTTTGCAGCAGGGCTGGGCAGCCCGATGCCCACCTTGTCCCCAGCCCAGAGCCCTGAGTGCCACGTCCAGCCCTTCCTTGGGCACCTGCAGGGATGGGCACTGCAAAGCTCCCTGGGCAGCCCCTGCCAAGGCCTGAGCTCCCTTTCCATGGGCAAATTCCTGCTGCTGTCCACCCTGAGCCTCCCTTGGCCCAGCCTGAGGCCGTTTCCCCTTGTCCTGTTGCTGTTCTCTGGGAGCAGGACCCCACCCGCACCTGCCAGCCCCTCCTGGCAGGGGGTACAGAAGGATTGTTCCTTTCTTAGGCCCTCTCCTCCTCCTCCTCCTCCTCTCTGCTTTCCAAAAGCAAATAAGAATCACTGCAGGGTGACAAATGCCACATGAGAGTATTTGGACTGGATGTTCACCCATTTCTTGTGTCCCCAGGGACAACCCAGTGTCTCCTCCCTCCCTTTCCCAATATCCAAGAGCAGAGAGTCCCTAGGCCAGCGTTCCTCTCTGTGGGAGCAGCAGGTGAAGGTTTGGGCACTTCTGCAGCCCTGAGAGAGGGGAAGGCAGCAATTCTCCCTTCTCTCTTTCATTCTTTTGCACACCAAAGGAGACTCCTGCAATGGGAAAAGGAATTGTTCTTGGTGGAGCTGCCCTGCGAGGCTCCAGCCCACACGAGAGGCCTGGGGGACATCAGGTGTTGTCCCAGCTGCAGGTTGGGCTCTGCCCTGGGTCACTCAGGGGCTGCTGGTTCAGGGCAGTGAAGCAGATAGAAACCATCCAGTCAAAGGTGAATTTTGGCCAGAAGTGTGAAGCAGAGACCAGGGTCAGCATGTTCAAGGTGTTCCAACAGGCCTATTTCATCCCAAAATGCAGCAGTTTAGACTGTGCTATTGCTGTAAGTGTGTGACCTACACTGCCTCCCAAAATCCTACAGATCTTTACTATTAATGGATGCCTTTTCCTTGGAATAACTACTGACTTTCCAGCGTGCAAAACACACAAACACACACACACAATTTAAGAAGGAGTAAATAATGCAATACAATCATTATAAAAGGATTGGCCAATAGCAGAACTTAAAATCACACCGCAGAATCTCTGCTGGTTTTTGCTTTCCCAGCTTGGCTGTTGCCAATCACAGAAACAATAAACAGAGGCATCTTCTGGTTACTTCATTCTTTTTGCCACATCCAAATATGCATATTCAATCTCCTGATCAGCAGGGCACGTGTTTGTAAATTCATCTCTCGCATACGCGTTTTTCAAGTATCTGGAAATCCCTGTCATTTCGGGTGGGAAATGAAAATTTCGGTATTTTTTTGCAACGACCTTTCATTAAAAGAAAAGAAAAAAGAAAAGAAAACCATCATTACATATCTAATGTGCAAATCTCAAATATCCCAAGCCTACTCTTTATGCCCGTTTTTCATTTCCAGTTTGTGAGTCTGGTGGTGTTGGGAAAGAAGAGGGAAAAACATAAAAAGAAGACATGGGATGAAGAAAGGTGCTGAACTCCCTTTAAAGGATTTGTTTGTGTCTACATCTATATATCTTGTTAAAGTTATGCAAAGCCATGTGGAGCAGTAGAACAAACTGGAAGAGATACAGTTTAACCCAGCAAAGATAAACCTGAATTAACAGAATAATCCTACAGGAATAAATTGGCCCGTACTTGGAAACTTTCAGTAAAACAGGAAAAGATTGAATTAAACCCCTTCATTTCAAATGATCAGGGAAGACAACTCCTGGCTGAGCCCTAATCCCTGCCTGCAGGCAGCAAGGGTGATGTGACAGGGTAGCATTTCCTCCTCTGTCCTTCTCCAGGCATTCACCTGTCCCAAGGGGATTCTGCCTGTGCTGGCCCCGGCTGCTTCCCAAGGTTTGCTGTGCCTGAGTGTGGGAAAGGGCTCATCCCTGGCTGCTGTCTGGGATAGGATCAGCCAGGAGATGGCTGGGCAGTTTTCACTAGTGGAGGTGTTGGAAAGCGATGGGATCCCCTCTTCCTCTGACAGAGTGGGAGTGTAACAGGAAACTTCCAGAAGTGACCTTGTTTGAAAATCAATGGAATTCCAGTGTGGTCATTTCTCTTCCAGAGCCTCGCAGAGTAGAATCCCAGAATCCCAGAATCCCAGAATCCCAGAATGGTTTGGTTGGAGGGACCTTAAAGCTCATCTTGTTCCACCCCTGCCATGGCAGGGACACCTCCCAGGTGCTCCCAATGTCCAGCCCGGCCTTGGGCACTGCCAGGGATCCAGGGGCAGCCCCAGCTGCTCTGGCAATTCCATCCCAGCCCCTGCCCACCCTGCCAGGGAACAATTCCTGCCCCAGATCCCAAGATCCAGCCCTGCCCTCTGCCACTGGCAGCCATTCCCTGGCTCCTGGCCCTGCAGGCCTTTGTGAAAAATCCCTCTCCATCATGGTGGGCTGTGACAACACCAGTCCCAGGTCACTGGAGCTGTTCAGGTGTGTGTGGATGCTCCACAGCCTGCAAGAGGAGAATTGGAGCCTTGCCTAAGAAGCAATGAGTGGAGGTCACCCTGTCAGAATTGGAAATTAAACATGGAAGAGACAGAAATTGGGATGGACAATACAATAACCTTCCTTGGCTGTGGTCTTGTGCACTTTGCATGTGAAATGCAGATGAGAACACTTCTCTGCAGCCCTGAATTCAGCACTCATTTCACCCTTTGGCTGTGAGAAGCTCAGCCACTGCAGTCACAGCACAGATACGAAACAGCCCCTGCAGACCTGCAGCCATCCAAGTGAGGATCACCCTGGCTGTGCTGCAAGGAAATGGCCTCAGTGTCCCTGGGTGTGCACTCAGAGAAAGGATCCCTCTGCCATCTAGAAAAGGGTTTCAGCTGCTGTGCTTCCCTTCTCTCCAGGAGGCCAAAAAAGCAAATGCAAACCTTGATTATGTGGAGCTTTGGTAGGAGGTTGCAGTCTGCTAAAGTGAGCTCATCTCCATCCAGGAATTTCCGGCTGGAAACAGTGATCTCCTCCGTGCTGTAAGCATCGATTTCATCGGGCAAGGGGCTATTTAAATAGTTGTCCAGCTTCTTCAGGGCTTTAAGCAAAGATTTTTCCAAATCTGGGTTAAGACAATAAAAAGATCATTCAAGCCTGTACCAAGGTCCCTGTGACACCGAGCGACTCCTGCATCCTGTCTCCTGGCAGCAGCCCAGACATCTGGCTGTGCCAACTCCTGCAATTCCTTGATCCTAGGCTCAAACTAGGATTAAATTAATGCTGGGATAAGGGCTCTAAGGAGCTAAAGGGAGTTCTGGGAAAAACCATCCTGGGGCCACGTTACCAGGAATGGCTCCTCAAACCCTCTCTCACAGGAGAGGATTTCTCCCTAATGTTTCATCTCACCCTGCCCTCCTCCAGCCTAGAGCCATTCGTGAGGGTCCTGCTTTAGGGATGTGCCAAGGGGCTGGAGTCCTCATTATTTCTGGAGATAGGGAATCTCTCACTTCCAGAGGGCTTTTGGCAAAGCTGTGGGGAAGGTGCAGCCTCACAAACCCAGAGCTGAAGGAGTGAGGTGGAATTGGTGATCCCATGGTCACAGCAGTTTTTGCTTTCACTGACTCCTGGAATCCTCCATTAAAGGAGGCACAAATTTCCAAAGCCTCCACACTCTGGAATATCCCTGTTTAACCTGAGCTGGAAATGGGACATCTCCAACAGTGTCCTACAACTGCACAGGTCTGGTTTCTCCTCCCAGGGCTGACAGCAGGACTGCAGCACCTACTTTCATTTGCATCTTTTCTTGGGTTCTTTATAAACGCAGAGAATTTTGCAAAGACGTCATTTCCTGCAGAGTTCGACTCGGGGTGCTTCGGTGCAAGTTTGGGATACCTGAGAAGTTCAGGGAAACAAAAAGAAGTGACTCAATTATCTTTTATTTTTGTCTCCACTAATTAATACACATTTGTTTGTAGGGTGACCACATAGAGCCACACAGGATTCAAAGGGAACCATCCTAAACTAAAAATCACTTATTTTAAACCCTCCCTAAATAGTCTTTGCCTGGGGGCAATGGGAAACGATGCTTATTGCTGCAAGCACTGCCCAAATATCCCAGGGTGTCTCCCAGGCTTTCTCCTCCAGAGGTGAGACTGCCTGGAATGCGGTTCCTGGAGGGAAAATCCCCACTTGAAGGAGCTGCTGCTCCTCTCAGGCTCCTGGCCCGGCCCACACGGGGCATCAGCAAGCTGACAGCACCATTCCAGGAGCTGGAGCTGCCAGGGATGCATAAAAATGGAAAAAACTGGAAGCAAGCAGCTGCTTCCCTGGTTTAAGTCAGGTTTGGCTGCTTGAGAAGGGAGTGCAAGGAGGGGACTGATATCCCAGAGGAGAGAAGCTCTGTGGGGTAGGGGACACAATGCTGGGACAGCAGAGGGCAGAGGGGTTTGGGAAGAGCTGCTTGGATGGGGGAGCCAAATCCAAAACTCAGACCCTTGTGCAGCCTGATGGACCCACGTGGACACTCTGAAAGAGCCCCAGCACATCCACTGTGCACGAGGTACTCACTGCCACCGAATTCGGCTTCACCGAATCCCAGAATCACCAGGGCTGGAAAACACCTTCAGCACCATCCAGTCCCACCATCCCCACCCCAAACCACCTCCCCAGGGGCCACAGATGAACACTTCCAGAGATGCTGCTCCACCCTGGGCAGCTCATTCCAATGCCTGACCTCTCTTGAATGGAAAACCTTTTTCCAGTCTCCAGTCTGAACCTCCCTTGGCATAACTCGAGGCCATTTCCTCTCACGCCTTCACTTGGGACATGGCAGAAGAGCCCGACCCCACCTCACTGCAGTGTCCTTCAGGTGGTTTTAGAGGGCAGCGAGGTTTCCCTGAGCTTCCCTTTGCCCAGGAAGAACAATTATTTGTGTGGTGTGAAGGGGGAGCCTCAAGCAGGGAAAAGGTTTCAGCAGCAGCCCCCAGATTTCCACAGGATGGATTCCATGGCCGGGAATGACCCAGCAGCGAGCTCGGGATGAAGGACAACAGTGGGAGCGGCACAGCCGTGACTTGGGGACAACCTGGGGACACCCCAGTGACATCTCCAGCTCCAGCTCTGTTCAAAGTCAGCCCTGGGCTGGAGCAGCCCCTGGGGATCCCCCCACCCTGAGGGGACCGGGCATGCAGTACCGGGGCGGCGCCAGCTTTTCCTCCAAGAATTCCTCGATCTTATTGACGTCGGTTTTCACTTCCCCATCGAAGGTCATGAACGGGGGGTTGGTGCCCGGGGCCAGGTTCTGCAGGTCTGCAGGTTTTCTGGGAAAGAAAAAGCCATAAAAAATTCCTCTCCCTCCTTTCTCTGAGCCCCTTTAGGCACTGGAAGGGACCCTGAGGTATCCTCAGAACTGCTTCTTCTCCAGGCTGGACACACCCAGCTCTCCCAGGCTGGCAGAAAAGAGTCACCCTTTAAAATCCCCGTTTTGGAACAGCTGTGCTACAAAGGTAAAATCTCAGAATTAAAAGGCACAATCTCACCTTTTCAGATCCACGGTTGTGACATTAAATATGACCCCTTTGAGCCACAGGATCATAAAGAGGCGCTGAGAGAACGGGCAGTTCCCAATACTTTCCCCATCACTGCCAGCCTACAATTGGAAAAATTACAAATTATAAACACATCTGTGTATAAATCACAGCAGCCCCTCCAAAGGAAACAGCCTCCACCTCATTTATCTATGTGGACACAAATCTGCACGAGTCACTGCAAGATTAAAATGAGTTAAATCAGTTTATAAGCACAGGAAAGAAACAGAGAAATATTTATCAGCCTGAACAGAGATAAATGATGTCTAAAGCTCTGAAGGGAACAAGCAGAATAAATCAATTATTATTGATAATAATCAATTATTATCAACCCAAAGGGCTGAAACCCTGAAGAAGGTGGCTATGAACTGTTGCTCTCAGATAATTTATATTGCAATTTGTTAAGAGGCTTTGTTAAAATGAGGCAAAGTCTTGCAGAGGTTCTGCTGAGTGAGATTTCGTGTAACACTGCAAGAGATTGGGGGTTTCATTTTTAAGCCCTTCACATGATTCTCCTAAAGCACAGCTTTAAAATTTAGATTAAATCAGGGGCAGAAGTATTAGAACCCAAGTGCCTTACAGTTAATAGGTTAATTCTTTAAGGTTTGCAGCCCTTATAACCCAACAAGACATGAATCAAACCAATTCTGTTTGTCCTGTTTCCCTCACTCAATGCTTTTGGAGTCAGAGGTACAGGAAATATTCCTTTATCTGTGCTGAGAGGCTCTGACACCCAGGAGAGCACTGAGTTTAGCCTAAAACCATGGAGACACCTTCTAAAGTAAAGAAACTGGGAATGTGAGTGTGCAAGTTAGAGTTATCCTGAATCACTGGGTGAATAAATAGAATTTGGAGTTTTAGGTATATTAATAAGTGAATCCAAGATGGAGACTTTGGGGTGTTGTCTCTTTCTTCTCGTTCTTCTTGTTGTTGTACTTCTTTTTCTTGTTGTCCTTCTTCTTCTTCTTGTTGTCCTTCTTCTTCTTCTTCTTCTTGTCCTTCTTCTTCTTCTTCTTCTTGTCCTTCTCCTTCTTCTTCTTCTTCTTCTTCTTCTTCTTCTCCTTCTCCTTCTCCTTCTCCTTCTCCTTCTCCTTCTCCTTCTCCTTCTCCTTCTTCTCCTCCTTCTCCTTCTCCTTCTCCTTCTCCTTCTTCGTGTTTTTGGGTAATATGAGGGGATTGGATAAAGAAATCCACGTTGCAGCAGCACACAGATGTTGGGTCATGGGGTTCACTAAAGAAAATAAATG